GAGCAGCGGTGTCCGATCGAGTCGTATTTGCCTTCTAGTTGCATGATCTCACAGGGCTGGTGAATCAGTAAAATTGTGACGACCGAAAGGGAGGAAGGGTCAATTGTGGCCTACGGGGTATAAAACACTTCTGGATTTTCCCTGATTGAAGCTATCATGTTGCTTTGTTGGGTCGTGTTGAGGACAAATGGATTTTTATCTTAGGAGCAGTACATGATATGCGGGTATTGATCGAATTCGCGCAACATAACTACGCTCGTTTTGGAAATATATTTCCGTCTCCAATATTGTACCTGTATATTGTTAGCAATGGATGAGCAGTATTTATTCCGGACTTTAAATCGGAATTATTATTATTTTGTGATAAAAAGCATGGAAGTTTACTCTTCCATCAAAGGATTTCATCTGGTGAATATACGTATTCAAAATAGAATATCTTTTTCCATACGACGAATTCTCTTCACATACGGAAATGAATAATAACGGCAAAATGTTTTTAACACGTCTGGTGGATTAGTAGCTTCCGGTTGTACCAGCGACGTCCCGGGTTCACGGGGTCGGAGGATTAGAATTGCGGTTAATGATAACGATTGAAACAGTTGTAAGGCCAGAGCTGCGCAGTTTCGCAGTTCACAGTTTCTTTGCTCCGCGACCAAAATCATTATCTTGGTCCATGTGGCTTCTACGTATCAGTTGAAGGGGATTTTAACGGATTGAATGGATTCCCCATTTCGCTCGGAATTCTCTAAACTTATCTGATTTATCTATACCACAGTGTGTATAGTTTCAGATATCTTTACCATGCACTTTTTTGGGGGATTAGTCTACCGTTCCTTCATCGGTCTACACCGTTTACATTTTAGCTAAACACGCGCTGATATTACACAAGTAACGTGCTCGTTTTTTATTGGTAGAGATCCAATGATTCTCATACAACACGTGACTTTTGTGAGTCACAAACGAAACACTTGTCTTCTTGACATCTACATTATATACTTTGTGCCGGCGTGGGGGGGGGGAAGGGGTGTAATTGTAATTTAACAAAAGAAGACACGTCACAAATATAACGCTTTGGATGCGTTCATTTGTCATCGGTACGTTGACTGATACCAAGTCTGTTACAACCCAAACTCGTACTTGGAGAGATCGATAACCGACCGTGCGTCCTGTCTTTCGCCTAGGTAGCTTCCGCACCTAGAACCATCATCCGCTCACGGACTTAGAGTTAGTCCGCTGTTCTCCTTTCCCGTGTGCTACTATTGTTACTGTGCTATATCTTGTGTTCTTTGCACTTGTGGTGTTCTCCTGTGATATAATGCTGTGCGACCAAACAGTAGTAGGCAGCGGATATACGCGGCGCAAAACGTAGCAATTTGGCGGCATGATACTAGGTCTTACGAATCCCTTGTTAGAAGAGGATAAGGAGAATGCGGATGAAATTCAAGGTAGAGACGGTTGAGCGGTTCAAAAGAATAAGTCTTTCATTTATCTTGGATGATTTGTATTTTATCGGTCTCTGGTACTTGCATTGTAAAATGATAGGCAGAAGTCTTTTTACGGATGACGCTTTCTTGTCACCGGTTTGACTTAACCAGTTCATGACTTCCAGATTGCGAGGAGGGCAGATTTATTCTACCCTGGTTATTCGTGCGCCATAA